TGTTTCAACCCATACAACGATTTCTTTAACCTGCAAACCAGATGCTCCTGTCCAGGTTGAGTGAACCCTTCTGGCTGCTTCATGTAAATCTGCTCCTCCAAATCACCATGTAAGAAAGCAGTTTTAACATCCATCTGCTCCAAATGCAAATCCCAAATAGCTACTAATGCAAGCACTGCCCTGATTGAAGTATGTTTGACCACAGGAGAAAAGATTTCATCATAATCTATCCCCTTTTGCTGTGAAAATCCCTTTGCAACCAGTCGAGCCTTGAATTTTTCCCTCTCTTTTTCTGATACTGCTGGTTTCCTTTTGTAGACCCATTTGCACCCATTGGTCTTCTTTCCCTCTGAAAGATGAACTAGCTCCCAAGTCCTATTTTTCTGCAAAGACTCAATCTCCTCAACCATTGCACCGATCCATTTTTCTTTATCATGGCTAGTGATAGCTCTTTGAAAAGTGGTTGAATCATCGCTGCTGATGAGAAGTGCACATGAGACTAAGTCTTCATAACTCAATCTGTTATGAGGTCTTACATTGGTGCTTCTCTGTCTATCTCTGACTAGATTGTAATTCTGTAGATCATCTGGAATAGAATCACCAGGTGTTGTATTTGAACTTTCATCTCTCTCAGAAGCTACTGGCTGGTGTTCTAAATCCATCTGCACTGCATCTGAACTGGAACTGTTTTCTGACACTTTGTCTTGATTCTGTTGTAGCATAAACTGCTCATCAAAAACTGCATCTCTGCTGATCACCATATTTTTTGCAATTGGATCCCAAAATTTGTATCATTTTACACCTTTCTTGTAGCCCAGAAAGATGCACTTCTTGGATTGTTCATCAAGTTTGGATCTTTCATCTCCAGGTACATGCACATAAGATGGACATCCAAAAATCCGTAAGTGATCAAATTTAACTGGATTGCCTATCCATACCTCTTCTGCGACCTTGCCACCCAATGATGCTCGAGGTGATCTATTGATGAGATAGCATGTCATATTCACAGCCTCTGCCCAGAAACTCTTAGGAAGCCCTGCATTCAGTCTCAAGCACCTTGCTCTTTCAGTTAAGGACCTGTTTATTCTTTCTGCCACACCATTCTGCTGTGGTGTCTTCCGCACTGAAAAATGTCTCTGAATCCCATGCTCCTCACAGAACTTCTGAAACTGCGAATCAGTGTACTCTGTGCATTATCGGACCTCAAATATTTGATCTTTCTACCAGTTTGGTTCTCCATCTCAGCTTTCCACAGCTTGAATTTAGAGAAAACTTCAGATTTTTGCTTCAAGAAATACACCCAAACTTTCCTGGAGAAATCATCAATGAAGGTAACGAAATAATGAGATCCTCCCAATGACAACTCCCTAGTAGGGCCCCATACATCAGAATGCACATAATCAAGAATTCCTTCAGTTTTGTGCTTTCCAGTCATAAAACTGACTCTAGTCTGTTTTCCAAGAATACAGAACTTACAAAGATCGAGCTTGCAGCTTTTAACCCCATGCAGCAGATTTCTTCTATGCAATTCTGCCATCCCACGCTCACTGAGATGACCCAGACGCATATGCCATAGCTTTGTACTGTCATTATCTGACTC